ATTGGGACTACACTGGTCGTCTTCCAAATTTTTGCCAGTTCTCCTGTTACCAGTGATTTGTTATACATCATGGAGAGTGGCAGGCACAGAGCTTCTGCTCCTTCCTTCAGTGTCCAAGGTGGAATTCCATCTGGGTCTATAGCCTTTGCCACATCCAACTCTAGCAGATGTTTCCTCACCTCCCCACTGGTAATCCCAAACTCCTCTAGTGGTGATTGGTTAGATATTTCCTCTCATATCTCAGGGACTTCTCTTTGATCTAATGTGAAGACCTTAAATTTCTTCTTGCGTTCCTCACACACTTCCTTGTCGTTTGTAGTGAATCTGTCTGCCCCTATCCTCAATTTCATTACCTGTTCCTTTACTGTTGTTTTTCTCCTGATGTGGTTGAGCAACAATTTAGGTTGAGTCTTTGCCTTGCTTGCGATGTTATTTTTTTTCGTATTGCCCTTCAGCCTCTCTTCTCACCCCTGACATATTCATTCCTGGCACTCTGGTATCTTTCTCTGCTCTTAAGTGCCCTGTTATTTCAATCGTTTCTCTACGCCTTCTTAGTTTGTTGTTTTGTTATCTTACATTGATTAAACTCATCTGCAGTTTCTCATCTGCATTTCCTTTTTTTCCTTTTGTGTGTGTGTGTGTGTGTGTGTGTGTGTGTGTGTGTGTGTGTGTGTGTGTGTGTGTGTGTGTGTGTGTGTGTGTGTGTGTGTGTATGTGTGTGTGTGTGTACTCACCTATTTGTGCTTGCGGGGGTTGAGCTCTGGCTCTTTGGTCCTGCCTCCCAACTGTCAATCAACTGGTGTACAGGTTCCTGAGCCTACTGGGCACTATCATATCTACATTTAAAACTGTGTATGGAGTCAGCCTCTACCACATCAATGCCTAATGCATTCCATCCGTTAACTACTCTGACACTGAAAAAGTTCCTTCTAACGTCTCTGTGGCTCATGTGGGTACTCAGTTTCTACCTGTGTCTCCTTGTTCGCGTCCCACCAGTGTTGAATAGTTTATCCTTGTTTACCCGGTCGATTCCTCTGAGGATTTTGTAGATTGTGATCATGTCTCCCCTTACTCTTCTGTCTTCCAGTGTCGTAAGGTGCATTTCCCGCAGCCTTTCCTCGTAACTCATGCCTCTTAGTTCTGGGACTAGTCTAGTGGCATACCTTTGGACTTTTTCCAGCTTCGTCTGGTGCTTGACAAGGTACGGGCTCCATGCTGGGGTCGCATACTCCAGGATTGGTCTTACATATGTGGTGTACAAGATTCTGAATGATTCCTTACACAGGTTCCTGAACGCTGTTCTGATGTTAGCCAGCCTCGCATATGCCGCAGACGTTATTATTTTTATGTGGGCTTCAGGAGACAGGTTTGGTGTGATATCAACTCCTAGATCTTTCTCTCTGTTCGTTTCATTAAGTACTTCATCTCCTATTCTGTATCCTGTGTCTGGCCTCCTATTTCCACTGCCTAGTTTCATTACTTTGCATTTACTCGGGTTGAACTTCAACAGCCATTTGTTGGACCATTCACTCAGTCTGTCTAGGTCATCTTGTAGCCTCCTTCTATCGTCCTCAGTTTCAATCCTCCTCATAATTTTTGCATCATTGGCAAACATTGAGACAAACGATTCTATACCCTCTGGGAGATCATTTACATATATCAGAAACAGTATAGGTCCAAGGACTGACCCCTGCGGGACTCCACTCGTAACGTCTCGCCAATCTGAGACCTCACCCCTCACACTGACTCGTTGTCTCCTGTTGCTTAGGTACTCCTGTATCCAACGGAGTACCTTCCCTTTCACTCCAGCCTGCATCTCCAGCTTTTTCACTATCTCTTGTGTGGCACTGTGTCAAAAGCTTTCTGACAATCCAAAAATATGCAATCTGCCCACCCTTCTCTTTCTTGCCTTATTTTTGTTGCCTGGTCGTAGAATTCAAGTAACCCTGTGAGGCAGGACCTGCCATCCCTGAACCCATGTTGATGCTGTGTTACAAAGTTCTTTCGCTCCAGATGCTCCACTAGTTTTTTTCGTACAATCTTCTCCATCAGCTTGCATGGTATGCAGGTTAGGGACACTGGCCTGTAGTTCAGTGCCTCCTGTCTATCCCCTTTCTTGTATATCGGGACTACGTTAGCTTGTGTGTGTGTGTATTCACCTAATTGTGTTTGCGGGGGTTGAGCTTTGCTCTTTCCGCCCGACCTCTAAACTGTCAATCAACTGTTTACTAACTACTTTTTTTTCCACACCACACACACACACACACACCCCAGGAAGCAGCCCGTGACAGCTGACTAACTCCCAGGTACCTATTTACTGCTAGGTAACAGGGGCATTCAGGGTGAAAGAAACTTTGCACATTTATTTCTGCCTGGTGCGGGAATCGAACCCGCGCCACAGAATTACGAGTCCTGCGCGCTATCCACCAGGCTACCAGCCCCCCCCCCCGTGTGTGTGTGTGTGTGTGTGTGTGTGTGTGTGTGTGTGTGTGTGTGTGTGTGTGTGTGTGTGTGTGTGTGTGGTGTGTACCTCCACCGGTACACACTACCCCAGCGTGTGTTTATGATGTTGGCTTGCGTGCGTGCGTGCGTGCGCCTGCGCGCGTGTTTGAGCAGCTTCTGGCAGCACCAGTGCGTTGGGATCATCAAGAGAGAGAGAGCGAGAGAGAGAGAGAGAGAGAGAGAGAGAGAGAGAGAGAGAGAGAGAGAGAGAGAGAGAGAGAGAGAGAGAGAGAGAGAGAGAGAGAGCGAGAGAGAGAGAGCGAGAGAGAGAGAGAGAGAGAGAGAGAGAGAGAGAGAGAGAGAGAGAGAGAGAGAGAGAGAGAGAGAGAGAGAGAGAGAGAGAGAGAGAGAGAGAGAGCACGTTGAGAGACGCGTCTGGCGTAGGTATAGCGATGAGGTAGGGTGGGGGTGGGGGTCAAACAGGCCCCATCCCCCCACTCCTCCCTGTGTGTTCGCGTTAAGAGCTCTGTAATCGAGGAGAATCAATAGCAAGCACAGGAGGAGCGTACTCACCAGTGTAACAGGTAGGTGACTCCGGGGGTCGAGGCCAGACGACGGTGGAGGACGACTTGGAGAAGGTCGACCTTCACTCCACGTACCTGGTGAGTCCTCCTTTCAAGAAGTCGCTGGTTACTACACCAAAAAAAAAAAAAAACTGCTTGGAATGCCTGTTTTTTCTCTCTATTTCTCACTGTGTCTCTCTCTCTTTCTCTTTTTCTCTTTCTTGTATCTCACTCTGTAATCCCTCTCGAGGTGTCACTCATATACTGAACACTTGTCAAACACCTCCGAGGTTACCTGATTTCATACCTGGAAGGCTAACTCTTTATTTTATTAATTTTTTATTATTTTTTATTTATATTTTGGTATTATAATTAACACTTTCGTGCTTTACGCTTGACAATTGTTGTGCTCACTTGTGTTTCAGCTTAAGCGCGCAAACATAAGTTTGGGAAGGTGTTGTATGAGGCTTAGAGGAGCGTGGAGGAGCGGCCACCGCCCCCTGGTGAAGCAGAGGAGTTGTGTGACGAGGGCGCAGCAGGGGGTGACGGGACGGGGTGCAGAGACACCAGGGGCGTGTGTGTGTGTGTGCTCGGCTCGGGCCGTGAGCCTGTACTGGTGGCGGCGGGCCACTACACTCTCCCACGGCTCTCCCACACTCTCTCTCTCTCTCTCTCTCTCTCTCAGCAAGCATCATCGCCTGCTCTCACTCTGCCTACCTACCTTCCTACCTACACACGCTCTCTCTCTCTCTCTCTCTCTCTCTCTCCCCGCCCCCCTGGAAGCACACATACAGGTATATATGTGCGAGGGGCCGAGCCACGCACATATAGATGAGACACTAAAGAAGAGTTTAACAATTTTATTAAAAACACAACACGAGGGAAAAACACATAACTATGAGCACGACCTTTATTGGGTCGTCACTACCAGTGTCACTACCAGTGTCACTACCAGTGTCACTGCCAGTGTCACTACCAGTGTCACTACCAGTGTCACTACCAGTGTCACTACCAGTGTCACTACCAGTGTCACTGCCAGTGTCACTACCAGTGTCACTACCAGTGTCATTACCAGTGTCACTACCAGTGTCATTACCAGTGTCACTACCAGTGTCACTACCAGTGTCACTACCAGTGTCATTACCAGTGTCACTACCAGTGTCACTACCAGTGTCATTACCAGTGTCACTACCAGTGTCACTACCAGTGTCACCACCAGTGTCACTACCAGTGTCACTACCAGTGTCACTACCAGTGTCACCACCAGTGTCACTACCAGTGTCACTACCAGTGTCACCACCAGTGTCACTACCAGTGTCACTACCAGTGTCACTACCAGTGTTACTACCAGTGTCACTACCAGTGTCAGTGTCACTACCAGTGTCAGTGTCACTGCCAGTGCCAGTGTCACTACCAGTGCCAGTGTCACTACCCGTGCCAGTGTCACTGCCAGTGCCAGTGTCACTACCAGTGTCAGTGTCACTACCAGTGTCAGTGTCACTACCAGTGTCACTACCAGCGTCAGTGTCACTACCAGTGTCATTACCAGTGTCACTACCAGTGTCAGTGTCACTACCAGTGTCAGTGCCACTACCAGTGTCAGTGCCACTACCAGTGTCAGTGCCACTACCAGTGTCAGTGCCACTACCAGTGTCACTACAAGTGTCACTACCAGTGCCAGTGTCACTACCAGTACCAGTGTCACTACCAGTGCCAGTGTCACTACCAGTGTCAGTGTCACTACCAGTGTCACTACCAGTACCAATGTCACTACCAGTGTCACTACCAGTGTCACTACCAGTGTCACTACCCGTGCCAGTGTCACTACCCGTGCCAGTGTCACTGCCAGTGCCAGTGTCACTACCAGTGCCAGTGTCACTACCCGTGCCAGTGTCACTGCCAGTGCCAGTGTCACTACCAGTGTCAGTGTCACTACCAGTGTCACTACCAGTGTCACTACCAGTGTAGTGACAGTGTCACTACCAGTGTCACTACCCGCGCCAGTGTCACTATCCGTGCCAGTGTCACTGCCAGTGCCAGTGTCACTACCAGTGCCAGTGTCACTACCCGTACCAGTGTCACTGCCAGTGCCAGTGTCACTACCAGTGTCAGTGTCACTACCAGTGTCACTACCAGTGTCAGTGTCACTACCAGTGTCACTACCAGTGTCAGTGTCACTACCAGTGTCAGTGTCACTACCAGTGTCAGTGTCACTACCAGTGTCACTACCAGTGTCACTACCAGTGTCAGTGTCACTACCAGTGTCAGTGTCACTACCAGTGTCAGTGTCACTACCAGTGCCAGTGTCACTACCAGTGCCAGTGTCACTACCAGTACAAATGCCACTACCAGTACCAGTGTCACTACCAGTGTCAGTGTCACTACCAGTGACAGTGTCACTACCAGTGCCAGTGTCACTACCAGTGCCAGTGTCACTACCATTGTCAGTGTAACTACCAGTGTCACTACCAGTGTCAGTGTCACTACCAGTGTCAGTGTCACTACCAGTGCCAGTGTCACTACCAGTGCCAGTGTCACTACCAGTGTCAGTGTCACTACCAGTATCAGTGTCACTGCCAGTGCCAGTGTCACTACCAGTGCCAGTGTCACTACCATTGCCAGTGTCATTACCAGTGCCAGTGTCACTACCAATGTCACTACCAGTGCCAGTGTCACTACCAGTGTTACAACCAGTGCCAGTGTCACTACCAGTGCCAGTGTCACTACCAGTGCCAGTGTCACTACCAGTGTCACTACCAGTGTCAGTGTCACTACCAGTATCAGTGTCACTACCAGTGTTACTACCAGTGCCAGTGTCACTACCAGTGCCAGTGTCACTACCAGTGTCAGTGCCACTACCAGTATCAGTGTCACTGCCAGTGCCAGTGTCACTACCAGTGCCAGTGTCATTACCAGTTCCAGTGTCACTACCAGTGTCACTACCAGTGTCAGTGTCACTACCAGTACCAGTGTCACTACCAGTGTTACTACCAGTGCCAGTGTCACTGCCAGTGCCAGTGTCACTACCATTGCCAGTGTCATTACCAGTTCCAGTGTCACTACCAATGTCACTACCAGTGCCAGTGTCACTACCAGTCCCAGTGTTACAACCAGTGCCAGTGTCACTACCAGTACCAGTGTCACTCCCAGTGCCAGTGTCACTACCAGTGTTACAACCAGTGCCAGTGTCATTACCAGTGCCAGTGTCATTACCAGTGCCAGTGTTACTACCAGTGCCAGTGTCACTACCAGTACCAGTGTCACTTCCATTGCCAGTGTCACTCCCAGTGTTACAACCAGTGCCAGTGTCACTACCAGTGCCAGTGTCACTATCAGTGCCAGTGTCACTACCAGTGCCAGTGTCACTACCAGTGTCAGTGTCACTACCAGTGCCAGTGTCACTACCAGTGCCAGTGTCACTACCAGTGTCAGTGTCACTACCAGTATCACTACCAGTGTCACTACCAGTGTCAGTGTGCATGCACATCCGGTACATCGTCCACGGCTCTGTAGAAGAAGGTGGACGATGTACCGGATGTGCATGAAACATATTTGAACAATCTTCTCTCGTACATACAGCAATGAAGCGCGTTAATGACTGGGCAAGTACAACTCAAACCGAACTTGCAGGCATATACCTTGCCACTGATGTTTTAAAAGACAAAGGCAGTAGACTTATATACTGTGACTCGCAGAGTTCACTCCTGGCATTGAACGCACATAGTAGTTACACCCAAAAAATAGTCAGTGATATTCGAATGAATGTTTTAGCTGCTAAAGAAAACAGATTTGAAATTAAATTCCTATGGATACCATCACATGTTGGCATGTCAAGGCATGACACTGTTGATATGCTTGCAAAGACAGCCTGCAGAAAACTAGTGATAGAAATTGATATGGATGTTTCATTAGCAGTGACAAAGAGAATACTTAAACAAATATCTAATGAAGATCTCACAGACCTAACAAATTCACAAAGACCGGAAAGTTGTAGCACTAAATATTATGATAGATATCGTGAGGAGATATTCACATATGAGACTAATAGAACAAGAACCCGGCAATGTGATGTTATAGTGGCCAGAATACGCCTGGGATATAGACGTATCTAGCAGCTTTCTCAAAACCCAAATGTCGAGTACACAATGTGTCAACTTTGTGAAAGAGAAAACATGCACTCTCTTGAACATTATATTGTAGAATGTCCCATATTGACTGACTTTCGCCCTCCTGGGCTAAGGTATGCTGAACTCTGTAATTACTATATGAGTACTGGAACACTTTACGATACCAGTAATTGTACTGGTATCGTTCTTGGACTTGTACCCAAGATTAACCATGTAATGTATCAATTATATAATGTATATATATGATGTAACTATATAACCTGAGCTTGTAAAAGCACCTTCATCACCTTCAGTGATTAAGTGCTTAATTGCACACTAGTTTCTCTATCAGCTATCTCACTCTGTCAGAGTAAAAGAGACAAATGTATGTGAATGCATGTGTGTGTGTATATATGTATGTATACATGTATGTATATATGTATGTGACGTATATATGTGTGTGTGTGAATGAATATGCATGTGTATAAAGTATATATGGAAGCTGATCAAAATTACATTTCACCTTTGTAAGTGCACATTAATGACACTATGTAAAAGACACATCGAACACTTTATGTAGGGCATACGTAAATCTGTGTATCTATGTATTTACGTATGTAGGTTACCTTAGCATTTTAAAAGCACCGAATCACCTTCTGTGGTTGATTGTTCAATAAACCCTTGAACTATATGTTTAACACATCTCTCACCCTGTCCATGGAGGACAGAAGGAAATGTATATATGCTGGTTAGCATTGTAAATGTGTGGCCACGTCTGTGGTAGAAAATAATAAAAAAGAAAAAAAAAAAAAAAAAACAAGTGTCACCACCAGTGTCAGTGTCACCACCAGTGCCAGTGTCACCACCAGTGTCAGTGTAGTGAGGAGATGACCACCTTCATCAACACCGCGTGAATGTTTACGTGTGCCAGCTGGCAGACTCTTTCTCCTCCCCCTCACACTCCACCTACTCATCCCCCTCCCCCTCACACCCCACCTACTCATCCCCCTCCCCCTCACACCCCACCTACTCATCCCCCTCCCCCTCACACCCCACCTACTCATCCCCCTCCCCACCACACCCCCACCTACTCATCCACCTCCCCACCACACCCCACCTACTCATCCACCTCCCCACCACACCCCACCTACTTATCCACCTCCCCCTCAAAACCCACCTAATCTTCCTCCTCATTCCACCCCATTCACATCCCCTACCACACATCCATCTCGAAATCACCTTAGGTAACCTCGAAGTCACCTTAGGTAACCTCGAAGTCACCTTAGGTAACCTCGAAGTCACCTTAGGTAATCTCGAAGTCATCTTAGGTAATCTCGAAGTCATCTTAGGTAATTTCAAAGTCACTTTAGGTAACTTCGAAGTCACCTTAGGTAACCTCGAAGTCACCTTAGGTAACCTCGAAGTCACCTTAGGTAACCTCGAAGTCACCTTAGGTAACCTCGAAGTCACCTTAGGTAACCTCGAAGTCACCTTAGGTAACCTCGAAGTCACCTTAGGTAACCTCGAAGTCACCTAAGGTAACCTCGAAGTCACCTAAGGTAACCTCGAAGTCACCTTAGGTAACCTCGAAGTATCTTGAAAGTATCATGTGGATGACTTCAAATGAGCCTTTGGGATTTTGATGAGAGAAGACAACATAGAAGACACAGCCAACTATCGTCAGATGCAAGTCAGCCCTGGCAATGGGGGCACAGAAAGATGTTTAATAAAGATGAGTTCCAGCTCCCGCAGTATGATAGCTAGAGCAGATAACAACTTTAAGCTTGTAGTAAGATAACAACTCTAAGCTTGTATTAAGCTAATAGTTTTAAGCTCTTTAACATGCATGTACACGATACAACCATTAATACTAATATCTAAGGGGGGCTCAAAGGAGACAGACAGAATGACAGAGTGAGAAGGATGAAGAGACAGAGACAATCAGAGAGAATGAAAGGCAGAAAAGCAGATAAAAGTACATGGAAAGAGACAGACAAGGAGGCGCAAAAAAAAAAGAGAGAGAGAGAGAGAGAGAGAGAGAGAGAGAGAGAGAGACAGACAGACAGACAGACAGACAGGCTATTGGATCTCCGAAGGCATGTGTCTGTCAGGAGGGAGAGAGACGGGAGGCTTGAGGGATTAAGACGCAGGAGAGAAGAGCTTTTAAGAGGATAAGCCGGAGAGCAGGAGATGATAGATGCGTGGGAACTACCAAACCACTCCTACTTGTCTTGAGGTTACCGGGATGAGGGAGAGAGAGAGAGAGAGAGAGAGAGAGAGAGAGAGAGAGAGAGAGAGAGAGAGAGAGAGAGAGAGAGAGAGAGAGAGAGAGAGACAGACAGACAGACAGACAGACAGACAGACAGATAGACAGATAGACAGAGACAACATTACATAAATGTTTACAACACAATTTCATGTCAGTATGAGGCTGGTACCAGCCAAACAGTTCAGTTGTTGGACATTTGGCAACTTAACTTTTGTAGTGATCAATCCTTTATTGCTCTGAATGGTGTTAAAACTATATATAAACACACACTGTAGGCGGGACTAAAGAGCCGAAGCTCAACCCCCTCCCCCACGCAAGCACAACTAGGTGAGTACACCATGGCTTCCACTATCTCATCCACTTTGACTGATCGGCACAACGTTGACCTTGCTTCTTGCAGGGTCGGCGTTTGAGTTTAATTAGCCCTAGTGGTTAGGTGTTGGCCCTACACTCCATGTTCATATCTCATCACTTTGTCATCATATCCCAGCTCCGTGGCGTCAATTCCCAGCTTATTTACATCAAATCCCGGCTCATTGTCCTCATATCCCACTCACTCACCTCATATTTCACCTTGTACTCATATCCTAGCTCATTGACCTTATATTTCGGGATCCTTGTTCTCATATCCCAGCTCGTTTTCCTAAAATCCCAGCTGATTGTCCTCATATCCCTTCCAAGGGCAGGATATTCACACTGGCTCAGCGATTTTTTCTCATTTTGTTTGCTCCATTATTCGGTTTCTACGAAATTATTACGAAAGTAAACTTTGCCATTATTTTTCCCCTACTTCTATCCTGCCTGTGTCATATTGTCCTCCTAATTATCTCCGTCTTTATTAAGTCTCCTCAACATTTTCTTCCGGTTTTTCTGCCCCCTATCTTTATTATGTCTCTGCTAGTCCTTCCCTTCCTATGTCATAATTCTATTTCTCCTTTCATACCTCAATCTTATTTCTCTTGATTTCTTCCCCTGTGTTTTCGTATACCCCTTCAACACCTCGTCAAATGAATTCCTTCTTTTTTCTGATTTTTAATTGGAAGAGGATTTCGGGGGAATCCTCTTCCAATTAAACAGCAAGGGCACTAGTCAGAGGGATAGAAGCCCTAAACCAGGAAATAATCAACGCGTTATGTGCGGTCATTTTCAATGAAATATGTCTCGATGAAAACCTGCTGCCAGTATCCCCCCAGTATATATATATATATATATATATATATATATATATATATATATATATATATATATATATATATAAATATATATGCGAACAAGCCTGAATGGTCCCAGGACATATGCAACTGAAAACTCACACCCCAGAAGTGACTCGAACCCATACTCCCAGAAGCAACGCATCTGGTATGTACAAGACGCCTTAATCCACTTGACCATCACGACCGGACATAATGAGGTGATAGCCGAGGCTATTTGAACCACCCCACCGCCGGCACTCGGATAGTTATCTTGGGCATAGCATTTTACCAAATCACCTCATTCTTTGGGGCAACACGTGAGGAACACAAATGCGAACAAGCCTGAATGGTCCCCAGGACATATGCAACTGAAAACTCACACCCCAGAAGTGACTCGAACCCATACTCCCAGAAGCAACGCATCTGGTATGTACAAGACGCCTTAATCCACTTGACCATCACGACCGGACATAATGAGGTGATAGCCGAGGCTATTTGAACCACCCCACCGCCGGCACTCGGATAGTTATCTTGGGCATAGCATTTTACCAAATCACCTCATTCTTTGGGGCAACACGTGAGGAACACAAATGCGAACAAGCCTGAATGGTCCCCAGGACATATGCAACTGAAAACTCACACCCCAGAAGTGACTCGAACCCGAAGCAACGCATGTATGGGTTCGAGTCACTTCTGGGGTGTGAGTTTTCAGTTGCATATGTCCTGGGGACCATTCAGGCTTGTTCGCATTTGTGTTCCTCACGTGTTGCCCCAAAGAATGAGGTGATTTGGTAAAATGCTATGCCCAAGATAACTATCCGAGTGCCGGCGGTGGGGTGGTTCAAATAGCCTCGGCTATCACCTCATTATGTCCGGTCGTGATGGTCAAGTGGATTAAGGCGTCTTGTACATACCAGATGCGTTGCTT